TTGAGCGCATGCAAAAACTGACCCCTGCTCTATATAATATTATATGCTCTATATAATATGCTCTATATTATATTTTTTTTAATATGACCTATATTATATCTTTGTAAATAATATACGAGTTCAAAATTTTTAAATTTTTTGCTCTTAAAATTAAAGATTTTTAAAACTCTTGATATAGTTGTCCCTTAGTATAGAAAAAAATTTCAATATAGTTAGTTGAAATTTTTCCAAATATTTTTTATCTCATTTTAATTGCATATACTTTTAAAACACTTGATATTTAATGAGAATAATTATTTTTTATGGAAAATAAAATTAATATTTTTTTTAAGTTCTTTTTCTACTTTATTTTCGTTTTCGTTCTTTGTTTATACACTTTATTTGTAATTGCATATATATACACAACCTACTTAAATATTTTTATGAGACACATTATAAAACTCACTTTTATATATACATATATTATACGAAATATTAGTGTACATATATATAGAACCTTAAATCGTATATTATATGGGAAAGTAAACAGGAAAAACGAAAAACGACACTTTTATGTATATGGATACAATTTTGTTATGGTGTATAACAGTTATTAATTATATATACTAGTAAACATACATAGGTATGTGCGTGCATTCATAAGTACATGGACGTGAAACATCTTTTTTTTTCATGTTTAACATTTGGGAGCAAAATGGTCCTTTTTTTTCTTTTCCATTTTCATTACTTTTACTTAAGTGTAACATTCGCAAGGATTACGTGAATTTTATGAAAGCAATTCTGTAAAAATAATTTTTTTATGTTTTTTCTTGATTTTTTCTCTTTGTTTACTTCTTTTACTTATTTACATAAATTATAATATAATTTTATCAAGTCAAAATAAGTAAAGAAAGAAACGTTTGTTACGAATAAGTTGTTAAAAAAGAAAATTACTCAAATATTAATATTAATAAAATTTAATAAAATTTTGGTTTAAAGTACTTTATTAATGATAATTTTTGAAGTTAAGGAAAATATGCGAGAAAAATAGATTTAATCAATTAAATTGAGATATTGAGGTTTTTCATTAAATTGGTATTTAAATTTTATAATTTAATTTCCAAAAATTTGTTTGACATAATTGGGCTAACAGGTACATCAACACTCTTACCGTTGAAATTAGTGACACCCCGATTATTCACAAAAATTAATTACAAATTTCAGACTTAATTGTCGATTGTGATTCGATTTACAGATTTTAATTTACTAATTAAATTTTAATGATTATAAACTCAAAAATTGAAAAAGTTTATTAAAACAAGGAAGTTTTGAACTGTAACTTTTTAGTTCAATATTTTGTAGTTGACTGCAGATTTTTAATTTTAAAAAATAAATAATCAATTTTGTAAATTTTATTTTAAGCGAAAAAGTACTTAAAATCATTAGGAGCTTCTTTAAGAAAATTTACCATATTTAATCATTTATTAATTAAGATTTTGCAAGAGCTTGTGCAAGGTTTACTTACTTTTTATATGCATTAAATCTTCAATTATAAACTAAAAGCTTTATTTAGTAGAAAAACTTACTTGATATTGTTTGATCCTATATTGGAATTAATGTAGCCGGTATTATAGGGTAGTGCATTTTAAATGAAATTTAGAAAAGGAAAATGAAATTTTCCTTTTTCTAAATTGAGATTTGTGAGCTATCGTTCTAGTTTAACTATCTAGTAGTTCTAGTTTTGTAAACTAGCTTTAAATTTATAAATTGATTTTTCTAATTCTTTTTATAATTCAATTTCCGGTTCTTTTATTAATTTAATTTATACTTCACATTTTTCAGTTTATATATTTAATGAACTGAATAGTTACTTTAAATTGAGTTTCAATTATTATTGCAATAAAATTGAAGTATTTATGTTATTTAAATTATATTGATTTTTTATTATTTTCTCATAAAGATCAACATCAAAGAGATTGTTTTATTAATTTCAAACTGGCTAGTTAAGCTAGGTGTAATAAAATGGAGTACAAACCAATTTTACAAAGTTTAACAAAAAAAATTGCATATATTCAGGCGAAGTGTAATTTTTGTTCAAGAAATAAATTTTTTTTTCAAATTTATTTATTGATTCATTTATTTTACATTCAAATTTGAATGAATCATTTGAAGTGTTGATCTGAAATTTGGATATTTTCAAATATGGGATAGCTCAATTTTTATTTCCATTACAATTTTTATTAAAATATGGAACGGGCTTAGATAATTTATAATAATATTATTGTAGTTACTGTGCTCTGCTCTGTGGCAACTAGTAATACTTAAAATCGATTCCTTAAATATTCTCTTAGGAAATAAATTTGATTTTGTTGTCGAACATTTTATAAAAAAATTATTTTAAAAGAATTATAATTTAACAACGTTCATGAATGTCGTTATTGAATTTTAAGGTAAAGAAAATAATGTTAAAATATTTTGATATTTCTTTCACAATTTAAAAGATGTTAAGATTTGCGCAATAAAATTTCTATACCATAGATAGCCCCCTGTTACAATTACTATAAATTTTAATAGATTTGGCAATAGTTTTTCTTCTTATAAGCAACACATATAAGATATACATGTGTAGGTTAGTTTTATAATATTAATGAATTTTCTTGTGATTTATGACACAAATTACATAAAATTTATAATAATTTTATAAACGAAGCAATTGTATATAGGTGTAGTATGTATAACGCAGATATGAATTCGGAAAACATGACGTATATTCTTTAATAAGTAGAATAATATTTATGTATGTTTAATATAAATCAAAAACATATTATATAATTATTTGTTAATTAATAGAACTGATTGTAAATTCTCAGAATACGCGAAGAAGAAATTGTGCATATAACGTATGTGCATACACAATAATTACTTATCTTATAATAATTATTTACCAATCATACAAATTCATATTATATATATATACATACGTACATATATTGGAGACGGCGGCAATATGGTAGTGTTCGTATATATAGTAGACGATTAAGCTTACAAATATTTGATTAATTTGTAAAAAAAAATAAATATTTATTGTTTTTTATAGTCTTATCTAAAATTCGATAAGAATTCTTATTTGTATTTCGGTATACTGTATATACTTAAATTCAAAAGTTTATTATTGATATAATATTGGAAATATATATATGTATACATATGTGTATAATGCATAAATACAAAATTTTTTTGCGACAGTAATATTAATACCTACTAATTATGTGGTATTATTTTTGTCATGTCGAATATTTTTCGCATTCCATGCGAAGGGCGTAAGTTTTATTTTTAATTTACCAAATTTAATAGGTCCGTTGGAGATTTTAGTTTTTTAATATTTCAAAAGAAAAATGTCATAATAAATATATGTTGTGAATAGTTCTTGATTTTTATATCTACCCTGTGGTAACTGTGCGTTAATTTAGATATATTCGACCGTCCACTTCTCCATTCATTAATTCGAACCTCTGCATGATAACTCAATTAGAAACAAAAGAGGTAGCGAGAAGAACGAAAGAAATTTCAATACCTCAAAAAGCTATTAATATGAAATTTTGTAAGCCTGTGTCCAATTACATTTTAAATATATATATCTTGGAACTTTTAGTAGAATCATGCAGTACCATGTAGCTGTTATACAGAAATTTGAAAAAAATTAGTTTCTTTTTCAAATTTTAATTGAATTTTCATGGTATGCAGGGCTGGTAAAATTTAGTTCGTTAAATTCGAAAAATGGTATAAGAATTTTTTAATTTAAAATCGCTTGAAGAAGGGATCGCTTGACTTGGAGAGCTTTTTTCTATTATTGTATAGAATAATGTGTAAATATTAATTTTGTGCTTAAAATTGTAAGACGACCTTAAATTTTTTTATTGTTTATTGAATAAAATTATCGATACATCTAACATTAACACACATTATTATCATTAAAATATATTGATTAGAGAAATAATTTTTCAGTTTTGTTATTCAATGTAAATATTTATGAAAAGATTGTATCATATAGGGTGTTTAAGAAATTAATTGAAAATTTAAATTTATCTGTAAAATGAGTATTTCAGAATGTATGCATTTTGTTTCAAATTTTCTTATATTCCCAATTTTTCAAATTCAATTCATTTCATTTGAATTAAATTCATTAATTTTCACTTGAATTTATTGATAAGTTTGATTATAAATTTAGCAATAACAATTTCTGGATTTTTTCGACTTTTTGTTAGAAAAAGCTAAAATATGATGATAAATTGGAAGGTATAAAATTTATTTCGTAATTTCGACTTAAATTAATAATTTTTATTAAATTCGGAATACTGTAAATTGTTTAATATAGAACGCTAAAGCAATCTCCGAATTTAAGTCCGGAGTCACTTCTTTGCGTAAGATTGCCTAAATATTCCAAAATTTAATGTAAGAATTGATTCTACACGATTGTTATTAGCAAATTTAATTTTTAATTCATTTCTGTTTCATGAGTAACCAAAAGTTTAGTTCTAAGTTAAATTTCAACTAAAAATTTAGAATTAAATCGTCTTATTTAGTTTACACATTCTAGTGCAAAACTGTATGCTAAATATATGTACATAAACTACTTAATCAAATAGAATAAGTTCTAAAAAAATTCTTATAAAAATTTACTTTGCAATTAAATAAAGCAAATATGAAGTTCTTAAATAGCACATTTTGCCATTATTGTATGTGCTTTTCATATTATGTAATTTAGCGGCAAAATTTATAATTTTAAATTAAAAAACTGCAATAATAATTACACATACATAATATATACTCTTATCGGTGATAGCAAACTTTCTTATCAGAAATTCTACAAAATATTGAAATTATATTAAGATTAAAAATTTTATAAAAATAGCTCTTAGTATATAGAATAAAATAATTTATTTGTATATCAAAATGAGCATAAAAAATTCAATTAAAATTTTGAGCAGAAGTTTAGGAGAAAAAAAAATTTATTTAAAGATTTTATTCGCGCGTATCTCTATACGAATAGAGGAGCCTTCGTCATAAATAAAAAGCTTTGTGGTTGATATTTTATCTAATAACTAGAAATGTACATAGCTACATACATAAATTTTTTTTATAATAAAAATAATAGAAATTTTTAGTGAAATTTTATATAAATAAAAATTTCAATAAAAAAGTGTGTGCTGCTTTTTTTTTGCTTTTGTGAAAAAAATTTTTTTTTAAGTAAAGTGAAGAAGAATTATTAAGAATTTTGTTGTTAGAATAATTACAAAATTTTGTTATACTTAATGTCTTTTTGTAAAATTTTTCATATATTAAAAGCTATAAGATCAGTTTGCCCATCTAATCACATCAATTTTTCTAAAGGATTATTTAAAGAACAGGTAAAAGCAAAATTATTATTTTTTCATTTAAATTAACATAAAATTAATTTTATATGGGGAGAATATCAATATTTACATATATATATTATTATTTATATATATAGATATGTATATCTTATAGTTAAATTAACTAAAATATACTCAGGTGTGCATATTTTATTTACTACAGAGAATAATAAATATACATAAGTGGAAATGTAGGAAAACTTTTGAATTAATTTTCTTTGTAAATTCACTGTAATGCAAATATTAATATAAAGAACATCACACAAAATGTAGGAACATATTATTTATTTATTTATACATACATACCCACATAAATAGTGTATGATTATAATTATGTATTTTAAAATATATCTAGAGCGGAAAATTTAGAAATATTTCAAAGTGATTCAAATAGAAGTCTTTGAATGAAAATAACTTCAAAATAAATATTTTGTATTTTTATTTAATATAAAAAATATGTATACATATTTTGTATATGTATACATATTTGCGAACATATATGTATATGTTCGCATAGTGCATATACATATTTTTTATATAGGTATTAGCAATAACAGTTTTCCTATCTATATAGTTTTCCTATCTACTGATACATAAAAATACTTGTTTGTTTACATACGTGTTTGTTTATTAGAGGTTAAAGAATTCTACTATGTATACACACATTTATAGCGCCAGAAAAACCCTCGAACTTAATTATATTCTTAATTTAGCTTCAAATCTCTCTCTTTTAATTTAATTTAATTAATTAAAATTGTCACTGAATTAGATTTTGGGCTTTGTTTTGGTCCTTTGTACTTCTTGTAAGAAATTGTTTTGATAATTTAGTTTTAACGTAGATCTTGATAGAAACAATTTTCGATGAATTAAAATTCTAAAGTGTTTAAATGTAGCATGTACGATAAATCTTAAGTACAAAAGAAGTCCGTTAGAAAATCGTGCTATGCTTAAAGTCTGCTTATATTTTATCTCTATGCTTATTTGCAAAAATATTGTAAGGTTAAAAAAAATCATAGAAAAATTTAAGATATCAGAAATCTGATAAAAGAAACTGATTAGTTCGTAGATCTGTAATGACGCAAAAAGAGATTTATTTTTAAGATACAAGCTAGAATTTAAAGTGCATACCTCAATCCACTGATGAAGGAAATTATTGAGAATTTCCTTTAGTTTTTTTGTTTATTATGTTTTAGTTATTTAATACGAAGTCCAAAATTTTAAAAAATTAAGTAAGATAAAAAATGGTGCTATTAGTTGAAAAAAAATTTTACGACTTTAAGTTGAGGACTTTTCGAATTGCTCGGAGAACACTATTCAGAGAATCGCATTTTGGCATAACAGTTAAGTTTTCGGTCTATACAATAGTTAGGAGGGCCGAAACACTTTTTACAAAATTATTATTCTTCTTCCTCTCTCTAGTTTTGTATTTAAAATACCATTTTTATCGAAATGATATAAAATAGTATGTTTGTATAAAATTATAGTTATAAATGAAAAATTAAAATTTTTATATTAAAAATGATAATTTATTGGAAATTAATTTGAATTTTGGAATCACATTGTCCACTTTATCAATTGATCAGATAAGTCCAAAATTTAAAAAATAATATTTTTAATACAGTAGGGAAAACATTCATGTCTCTGTTTTACGATAGACGGTTGAATGTACATATATTGAGTATTGATAACAAATAATAGATTTTTTTTGAAAAAGAGTGTTGGAAATTCGATTGAAATGTAGAGATTTCTCCTTTAATAATATTCAAATTATATTGTATATGAAATAATTCTAATAAGGGTATTTACACACAAATAGGGTGCGGTTTAAAAAATTAAATATTTCTAGCGAGTTCTAAATACTTGCTTGATTTATTTAACTGACTTAGCATCAGTGATTTTGTTTGCAATACATGTGTTTTCACAAAGTCTTTTGCGTCAATAATTGACGTATACGTTTTATTTTATTTGCCTTGCCTTACAAGTTTTGCACAGGCATATTGATAATTTGTATAAGTTTTTTGTTTATTTTAAATTATAGTTATACATATTTTGAGAGCTACATGTAATAAACATATAGAACAAAAATAAACCATAATTTAAAGTTATTTGATCTTAATTTAAAGATCTGTAAGAAATTGAGATTCTTGATGAAATAATACAAATATATGGGGCATTTTTTTTCTAAAAGTGATTGTAGAACATTAGTTGAACATGTTACAAATTCACACTTTATTAAAGAAAAATAAAATAAATTATATTTTAAAATATCGTTATAATTTTCATATTCATTCACAATAGTAATTTTCGTATTATAGTGCCATGGGCAAGAAATTCCAAAATATTCTCTTAAATAGAATGACTTTTAATAATTTTAATATATGAATAATTTTCCCAGATGTTTCTTTTAAAAATGTGATTTTAATAATATTAAAAGAATTTTTGGCTTAAAAATATTGTTTTTATTGCGGCAATAAAATAGGAAAATAATTGTACAATAATGTTTTATGCATAATAAAAAACAAATAAATTTTGTGAATTTTTTAGAATTAATATTTAAGAGAAAATGTCATATTTGAGACATATTCAACTTATAAGTGTTACCACTGTAATTTGTCTTAGAGAACTCACCATCATTATAATAGCAAATTATTTAGAATGAGATTTTTTTTAAGCTAATTACGTTGTTATAAACGAAATATTAATTTATTTAGTTGGGAATTGTTTAAAGTTTTTATAATTTTTAATGTGGAAAAGAATATCGGCTACTCTTTTGTCATTACAATTTCATATGGTCATGGTTTATTATCATTTCACTTCTTATATGATTAATGAAAATTTTTTATATGAGATTTTAATAGTGTTGGGAAATTTTCTATGAGACTGTGTTTTGGGAAATTTTCTTTGTGATGGTATCAAAATTTCACATCAAAATGACATCTGCTTGCCTTTCTGTGAACTTGTGTAATCGATTTTCATAAAAATTAATATCTAAGTTGATTTTGGCCAGATGACCAATTGATGAATTTAAGGTAGGATTCCAAACTCTGCAACTTAATTTTTAATACGAGCATTTATAACTAATTAACGTAATTTCGATAAATTCAATAAGTGAGTACTGCTTGTGAACAAAATCCACAAAAAAACTTTTTAATTAAGAAATGTAATTACGAAAAGTTAACATTTACTTAGAACCTAATTTATCTTTTTCTGGGTACATAACTTAAAAGGACTAGTAACCTTTATTAGAATTTGAAATGAATGCTTAATTAAATAAAGAAGAACATTTTCACAATCTTACGGGCTTCAAACTAGTAAGAATAAACTAACAGGAATTTCTTAATTCTTTTATGAAAAAATACATTGTGGTAGGTTATGTGCTGTTTATGTAAATTTTTTTATTAAATTGCCAACACTAACTGCTGATTTTCTATTTTTGTTAAAATTTGAATATAGTAAATTTTCGTTTAAAGATAATTTTATAAATTAAAATTTTATAAAATACACACATGTTTCGTATGTTATGATATAGAACAAACAATAAACATAATCAAAGATAGGGTAAGTATGAAGATGTATACAAAAAAAGATTTTCTCTGGTGATGTTTTATAACCAAAATGCTGTTAGAGACCAAAAATTAAATTTCATTATTTTTCTGCATAAGCTTCTTGGAGTTCAGCAAAATCACATTGGAGCCTGAGAGTGTTTTTGTATAAGTGTAAATGTATATATGTACATATATGTATACATTATATTGTAAGACTGTGTCTAATAAAATACAAATAAATTTTATGAATATTTTATTTTTGGTGACACTTCACCATACTATAGAGATAATTCTATTTTAAATGTAGAGAAAATTCTTTTTCACTTTTCTTTTTCCAATATTTTTGTTTTTTTTAAATAGAATACTACTTTCATTTATATAGGAAGTGTTATGTCTACAATTTTGTAAATTTTAGTCTGAAGTTAAAAATAAACTTTTTAAAATTCCAAATTTATTTATGTACATATATTTGCACATATAATCATGTGATATATATAAATGTTCATAGTTATAAAAACACAAAAGTGTATAAAAAAAGAATTTGCATAAACTAAATATATTTTTGTTTTAAAAATTTCACATATATATGAGGCAGTGATTACCAGAGCACCTCTTTTAAAGGGAACATATTCATTGTTTTAACATGACCGTTTTGTTCTCTCTCTTTGTTTTGTCTACATCTTTTCTTTTCACTTTGTTTGTTTTAAACGTAAAATTCGTTTCTTCTGACATTGTTTTAAATGTAAAATTTTAATTATATTAGGTATTTGTTTGCAATATTTTTGATGCAAAGCGTAACGTAATGGAATCGTTTCGACAATTTAATTTTTATAATTCTTAAATATCGTACATATTGACATTTATTAAGTTTGTTTAAAAAAGCACGTTTTTTAGTTTTTATATTAACTAATTTTTTAGTTATACAAATATTTGCTTTTTGTAGGCTCGTCACATACCTATTAAACTCAATGAGGCAAGAAACTGGTTCATGGTCCAACGATACAATATATAAGCCCTACGCTCCTCCCAGAAGCAAAGTAGGATAAAAAAATATACATATTGCAATTATATAATCACAATGAAAATGCAGAAAGATTATTTCAAATTATATGAGCATAGTGGAAGAAAAACTTAGATTTCCTAAAAATATATAGTATATGTATAAATTATAAGGCATTTAAATACGTATAGATATATTATTTTCGGTTATTTATTATTGCAGCAATATTAGTTGTTGCAAAAACATTTTTTATTGTAAAATGTGATATAAACGTGATTAAATTAAAAAATTTCTAACGGAAATAATGAAAATCAGAAAAATATGAATCAAAAGAAGTGGAGGCAGATCCAGTTTTGCAATTTGTACCTAAAATAAAGTTTATATTATATAGCCGAACCTGCTTATAAATGCATATAATTAAAATTCCCTCGATTTTCGTTGCTTTTATC